GGCCCGGCTCCCGGAGCGGCTCCGCGAGAGCACTGGGGAGCACTGGGCAGCGAATCCTGCCCAGCAAGGACACCTTCCCTCCGGGATTTCGGAGCTGTCTTATCTTTCGTAGCGTTCATTTTCTTTTTATTTCGCTTAAGGCTTTTACTTTTTTTTTTTTTTTTTGAGACAGGGTATTGCTATGCGTTGCAGGCTGGCTTTGAGCTCAGGCTGGCCTGCCTCAGCCTACTGAGTGCTGGGATTACAGGCGTGCGCCGCCACGCTTGGCTTTTTATTTTTATTGATTTTATCTCACTTTGCTTATTTTAGTTGGTTTCATTACTTCACTTTATTAGGTCTATTTAGTTTCATTTATTTTTGTTTTCAGTTATTTAATTCTTAATTTTGTGCTCATTATTTAATTTCATTTGGTGGTTTTTGTTTTGTTGCTTTTTTTTTGGCTTTTTGAGACACGGTCTCACTGTGCAATTCAAGCTGGTCTTGAACTCACTTTTTAGCCCAGGCTGGCCTCGAACTCACGTGATCCTCCTGCCTCAGCCTCCCGAGTTTTGGGATTACAGGTGTGGGCCACCATGCCCTATTTTTGTTCTTTGGGTTGTTTTTATCATTTCTTTAAAGTAATTTACTTTACCTTTATTTGTGGGGGAAAGGAAAATGTGAGCGGTGTTTTCACTTTGGGGTTTGTGGGGTTTTTGCACTGGGTTTTGAGGAATAGTAGAAACAAGTACTATCTTAGTTGTCACATCTCCACAACTGGATATGAAGCCTCAGAATGTCGAGGACAAGGTTTTATGTCATTGGGCCAGGAAAATGTGTTAATTGACTGAATATCATTAACAAATGTTCCTCCACTTGACGCAGTGTAAAAAATCTCATTACGTGAGGTCAGTCAGATTTTGTAAACTATTGGAGGCGGAGTCAGAATCTCCCTAAATTACCCAGGCTGACCTTGAACTCCTGATCTTCCTAACTCAACTGGAGGCTGACATTACAAAAAAGCGCCTCACACCCAGGGGATTTCTAAAATGTATCAGCACCTGCCCTGGGCAAGACACATTAGGAGGCAGAAGTCTGCAGGATGCAGGGTCCTCACCCCGAGAGCACCGGGTTGATCCGAGTGTGGACTCGGGTCTGAGCGAAACTCCCTGGAGGAGGCGTCACCGCCGGAGCAGTTGGAAGGAAGGCAGGCGCCTCTGTCTGACTGGTCAGTAGGGGGCGTGTTCCTGACTGAGGACCAGGAAGGCTGTGTTGTCACAGTGTGGCTTTGACTGCAGGGAAGAGTCTGCAATTTGAGGTAGAGAAGGGAGTCATTTGTCAGGTTTCTTTTGTTCTCTTTGGTTTTAGTTGTTTTTTGTTTTTTGTTTTTGAGACAGGGTCTCCCTTTATATTCTAGGGTGGCCTGAATTCACTGTGTAGTCCACGGTGGCCTTGAACCTGCAGAGATCCTCTTGCCTCAGTCTCCTGAGTGCTGGGATTACAGGGGCACACCACTAGCCCAGCTTTCTTGCATGCCGTTTTTTTTTTGTTTTGTTTTGTTTTTGGTGGTGGTAGTGCTGGGAAGAACTTGGGACCTCCTGTATGCCAGGAAAGTTCTGTACCTCTGAGCTGTACCCCAACACTTTTTTTTGCCTTTCAGAGTAAATTGAGGCACCAGGACTAGCATGAAATGCTTTGCCCGTAACCCTAAAAGCAAGGCCATTCTCTATCTTAATCATAATAAAATTATAATTTAGTTAATAATATACAGCCTGCGTTTCAAATTTCCCCAGTAATCCTCAACATATCTCTATTGTTATGGTCCAGAATCCATTTCAAGATCCTTCATTTTGAGGAATCTTGAAAAAAACATTTCTCTCAACCTTTCTGGTCTCTCAGTTTTGAGATGCTTAGGGCTATGGTCTTTGATTGAACCTCGGGCTTTCTTACTAAGCTAGCTTTTTTTTTTTTTTTTTTTTTTTTTTTTTGGTAGACAGGGTCTTACTATTCTGTTCAGGCTGGCTTTGAACTCACTTTGTAGCCCAGGCTGGCCT